AGTACAAGAGTGCTCAGACCTTGTACGACGCTGTAGTTGCACGCTACTCTTCCCCTGCCACTACTGCACTGAGCCGCCTCATGCTACCTTACCTCTTCCCTGACCTTGCTGCCTTTCCCACTGTCGCTGACCTCATTACGCACCTCCGCACTAGTGACACCCGCTACCGCGCTGCGCTTCCTGCTGAGTTCTGCGCCAAGAACCCCCCCCCAATGTACATCACCCTCTACTACATAGTCACCCGGCTCCCTGACTCTCTTCGCGTAGTCAGGGACCACTTCCTCTCTGTTTGCCCCACCACTCTCACCGTTGACCTCCTCGAGAAGGCCCTCCTAGCGATAGAGAAGAGCATAGTCGCTGTAGGAGCCTCTCGTGGTGACCCTCGCACCCCCGTCTTTGAGGGGTGTTCTCCCTCACCCCTCTTGCCCTCTGTTGCCTCTGCTGCTGCGGCCGACCTCGTTGGTTTCGAGTCGGTCGGCGCTGCGTCTGCCCCGAGCGGGAGACGCCGCACTAGCAAGGGCAAAGAGGGCAAGGGCACTGGAGGGGCTAGAGGGGGCGGTGGAGGTGGTAGTGGAGGTGGTGGAGGGAGTGGGGGTGGTGGTGAGAGTGGTGCCGGGGGTGGCGGCGGCGGCGGCAGCAGTGGAGGCGGCGGAGGCGGTGGAGGTGGCGGAGGGAGCGGAGGAGGCGGAGGTAGTGGAGGAGGCGGAGGTGAAGGAGGCGGCGGAGGCGGCCGAGGTGGCGGCGGCAGCGGAGGCGGCGGTGGTGGAGCGAGTCGTGACTCTGCGCAGAGGAGTGGCACCGGTGGTGGTTAACGCCAGCAGCAGCACCGGAGTGGTGTGACCCTATCCCCTCAGCAGCTTCGTGAGTGGTACACTGCGCGCCAGCGCGGTGGGGGTTTTGGTCCCTGCTCTTACGTCCTCCGTACCGGTCACCGCGCTGGTGAGCAGTGCGGAGGCCCGCACTCCACCCAGCGCTGCTTTGGTCGCCTTACGGACGCGTGGCATCGCCAATTCCGTGAGGCGTCAGAGATCCCTCCCTGGGGAGATCTGGCTAAGGCCAGGGTTGCTATCTTTGATCTTGACTTTGATGCTATCCTTGCTGCCATGTATGCTGTTGATACTAATGTTGAGGGTGCCTGTTACCTGTGTGTACCGCCTGACCCGGGCATCGAGGCCACTGCTCTAGGTGCTGGTGAGACTGCTGCTCTAGGTGCTAGTGCGTCTGCTGCCCCAGGTGCCAGTGCGTCTACTGCCCCAGGTGCTGGTGAGTCTACTCTCTCAGGTACTGCGTCGGCTCAGGCCTTCCACACCTTCACCCTGGACTCGGGTGCGTCCCGCTCCTTCTTTCGACACCACACCACTCTTACGCCGCTCAATCGGCCGGTTGCAGTCTCCCTTGCAGACCCCTCTGGGGGTCCTATCCTTGCTAGCTTCTCCACTGTCCTTCCGTGCCCTGGAGCCCCCTCTTGCACCCTTTGTGGTCTCTACCTCCCCTCGTTCTCTACAAAATTGGTGAGTGGAGCGGACCTACAGGATCGAGGGGTTGACCTGTTCGCTCTTGCGAGTCAGCGAGTGACCCACTGCACGTGTGCTCGGACAGGCCGACACTTGGCCACGTTCACCCATAGGCCAGGGTCGAGCCTGTACACCCTTACTACTGAGTCTCCTCCTGCTGCTGAGTCTGCCCAGGTAGCTGCGTCGAGTCAGGTGTTTGCTGCGGCGTCCAGGTCTGGTCCTGGGTCTGCTCCGTGTTCGTGTCGTCTGCTGTCCCACCAGACTCTCCTTTGGCACCACCGCCTTGGTCACCCCTCCTTGCCTCGTCTCCGAGGCATGGCCTCCCGTGTCCTTGTCTCTGGTCTTCCTCGGTCTCTTCCTCCCCTTCCTCCGGGGACTAACCCTACCTGCGTCCCCTGCGTCGAGGGGCGTCAGCGCGCCGCCCCTCACTCATCCGAGTTTCCTCCGACAGAGGTTCCGCTGCAGACGCTACACATGGACGTGTGGGGCCCAGCCCGCGTCAGTGGGCAGGGGCGAGAGCGGTACTTTCTACTGGTCGTTGACGACTATTCGCGTTACACCACATTCTTCCCCTTGTGCAGCAAGGGTGACGTCACTGAGGTGTTGATCGTCTGGATCCGCGCAGCTCGTCTCTAGCCCAGAGAGAGTTTCGGCTCGGACTTTCGTGTTCTGCGTCTGCACTCGGACAGAGGCGGGGAGTTTTCCTCTGCCCGTCTGGGCGCCTTCTGTTGTGCACAGGGCATCCGCCAGACCTTCACGCTTCCGGCCTCTCCACGGCAAAATGGGATTGCCGAGCGCCGCATTGGCATGGTCATGGACGTCGCTCGTACGTCCATGATGCATGCAGCTGCCCCCCATTTTCTGTGGTCGTTTGCGGTTCAGTACGCCGCGCATCAGCTCAACCTTCAGCCCCGGGTCTCCTTGCCAGAGACCTCCCCCGCCTTGCGGTGGACAGGAAAGGTTCTGGAGGCGCTGAGCGGCCGAGGACGTACTTTGTTCCGCTCCTGGAGCAAGTTCTTGGTCTCCCGCCCTCTCCTGGTCCTGCTCCTCCCTTAGAATGTTCACAGCCTGTCCAGTCGCAGTCACACTTACAGCTTGCCTCCCCGCTACCTGCTCCTTCTCCCTACACTGGTCCTACTGGAGGTCTTGCTGAGCGTCGTGAGCCTGCGTCTCGTCCTGCATCGCCTTTTCATGCTGCTCGCACTAGTCGTCGTGCTACGCATCTGCGTCCTCCTGCGGTCCCTGGCACACACTAGATGGCACTGCGTCCTTCCAGTGGTCCTCTGCGTGTCCCGTTGCTGTCTCCGCCATAGTCCTCTCTTCCTTCTCTTGCTGACTCGGAGTTTGACTCCCTTCGTGCTGCTAGTCCTTCGGTCACGCGCCTTCTTGCTACTATTGTCACTGACCCTTCCTTTGAGTCCACTGCTGCGTCATTCCTAGTTGCTGATCTTGTCAACTTCGCTGCTCGCTATTATCTAGACTACGCTGCCAGTCTTGTTGCTGAGTCTGAGTCTGTCTGTCCTCCGTCCGTCGAGGGTAAGTGTGCTCTTAGCACGGACGTCCTTGAGGACAGGCAGGAGGATTTCCAGTGCTTTGCTGCTGCTTTGCCCCATCTCGTGTCCACGGTTATTGCCCCTAAGGGAGACCCGGATGCACCAGACATCCCGACTCCTCGATCGTACGCTGAGGCGATCGAGGGTCCCTACTCCTCTTAGTGGCAGTCGGCCATGGACGCAAAGATGGCTTCCTGGAAGTCCACAGGCACCTACGTCGACGAGGTTCCCCCACCTGGGGCGAACATCGGAAGTGGCATGTGGATTTTCTGGGTGAAGCGGCCGCCGGGTTCTCCGCCTGTCTTCAAGGCGCGTTACGTGGCTCAAGGCTTCAGTCAGCGGCAGGGAGTTGACTTCTTTCAGACCTTCTCTCCCACCCCGAAGATGACCACTCTTCGGGTGCTGCTGCACATAGCTGCTCAGCGCGATTACAAGCTTCACTCTCTTGACTTCAGCACAGCTTTCCTTCAGGGCAGCCTGCACGAGGAGATCTGGTTGCGCTGCCCACCTGGCTTCACAAGGTCGTTTCCTCCTGGTACCCAGTGGAGCCTCCGGCGGCTAGTCTACGGTCTCCGCCAAGCGCCCGGTGAGTGGCACGACACACTGAGGACTACACTTGCGGCTCTTGGGTTTGCTCCTTCTACAACCGACCCGTCACTGTTTCTGCGCACCGACACTTCTTTCCCGCCGTTCTACATCTTCGTGTACGTCAACGACTTGGTCTTTGCCACTGCTGACAGTGCTGGACTCGCCCACGTGAAGTCCGAGCTACAGAAGAGACACACGTGCACAGACCTGGGTGAACTGCGCAGCTACCTTGGCTTGCAGATCACCCGGGACAGAGCACAGCACACCATTACCCTGACTAAGTCACACATGGTGCAGCAGGTCCTTCAGCGCTTCCGCTTCACGTACTCCTCGCCTCAGGCCACTCCTCTGTCTACTCGCCACTCGCTCTCAGCTCTGCCTTCGGATGAGCCCGTAGAGGCGAGTGGCCCGTACCCAGAGCTTGTTGGTTGCCTCATGTACCTGATGACCTGCACACGACCGGACCTTGCATACCCTCTTAGCATCTTGGCACGCTATGATGCTCCTGGGAGACACCAACAAGAGCACATGGCTACAGCGAAGAGGGTGTTGCGCTACTTGTGTAGTACGTTGGGCATGGGGCTAGTGCTTGGAGGGCGAAGTCGAGTGGTCCTCACAGGTCACGCAGACGCTTCTTGGGCTGACGACCAGGCTACGCAGCGGTCGTCACAGGGTTACACCTTCAGCCTTGGCTCTGGCTCTGTTTCGTGGCGGTCTACCCGCTCGTCTTCTGTTCTCACCTCCAGCTGTGAGGATGAGATCTACGCGGGGGCCATGGTTGCACAGGAGCTACGCTGGCTCACCTACCTGCTGAATTACCTAGGAGAGCCGCCTCGTTCTCCATGCTGGCCTTGTGTCGGGAGCACAGACTGGAGCACAGAACGAAGCACATTGCTCTCCGCTACTTCCTGGCTCGTGAGCTGCAGCAGCGTGGTCAGCTCCGCCTCACCTACGTGGCCTCTGAGGCCAACACTGCTAATATCTTCACCAAGCCCCTTCCGCCTTGTGATCATCAGCGCTTTTGTACTTTGCTAGGTCTTGTGCCTACCTGGCCTCACTTGCTCACTTCTTGATCTTGTTTGTACTGTATTCTTTCTATACCTGCCCTTGCTTGTTTACCTTTATATATATGACCTTGCATGTGAACTGGCCTTGTGGCCTTACTCTTGTGCTCGGACTGTGTGGTGACTTTGTGATCCACCCTGAGCTTGCTTTGCTTTGCTTCGCTTGACTGGTCTTGTGACCACTTGTTCTCCCCCACTTTGCCTTTGAGGGTGTGTCAGAACATTAAAGCCCATACATTTTTGTAGGCTGTAGTGGGATAGCCCATAAGGGGTACAACCCAATGAGGGCTAGTACTTGTACCCAACTGTTTCATAGTTCATTCATCCATTCTCACTTCTCGTCATAGTCACCCGGCTCCTTCACTCTCTTCGCGTAGTCAGGGACCACTTCCTCTCAGTCTGCCCCACCACTCTTACCATTGACCTCCTTCAGAAGGCCCTCCTAGCTATAGAGAAGAGCATAGTGGCTGTAGGAGCCTCTCGTGGTGACCCTCGCACCCCCGTCTTTGAGGGGTGTTCTCCCTCCCCCCTCTTGCCCTCTGTTGCCTCTAGTGCTGCGGCCGACCTTGTTGGCTTCGAGTCGGTCGGCGCTGCGTCTGCCCCGAGCGGGAGACGCCGCACCGGCAAGGGCAAGGGGGGCAAGGGCGCTGGAGGGGCTGGAGGGGGCGGTGGAGGTGGTGGTGGAGGCAGTGGAGGGAGTGGGGGTGGTGGTGGGAGTGGTGCCGGGGGTGGTGGCGGCGGCGGCAGAAGTGGAGGCGGCGGAGGCGGTGGAGGTGGTAAAGGGAGCGGAGGCGGCGGAGGTAGTGGAGGAGGCGGAGGTGGAGGAGGCGGCGGAGGCAGCGGCGGCAGCGGAGGCGGCGGTGGTGGAGCGGGTCGCGACTCTGCGCCGAGGAGTGGCGCCGGTGGTGGTCAGCGCCAGCAGCAAGAGCGGAGTGGTGTGACCGTGTCCCCTCAGCACCTTCGTGAGTGGTACACTGCATGTCAGCGCGGTGGGGATTTTGGTCCGTGCGCTTACGTCCTCCGTACCGGTGACCGCGCTGGTGAGCTGTGCAGAGGCCCGCTCTCCACCCAGCGTTGCTTTGGTCGTATGACGGACGCGTGGAGTCGCCAGTTCCCTGAGGCGTCAGAGATCCCTCGCTGGGGAGATGTGACTAAGGCCGGGGTTGCTATCTTTGATCTTGACTTTGATGCTATTCTGCTCCGTGCTCGTGTGGTCTGCTGTCCCACCAGACTCTCCTTTGGCACCACCGCCTTGGTCACCCCTCCTTGCCTCGTCTCCGAGGCATGGCCTCCCGTGTCCTTGTCTCTGGTCTCCCTCGGTCTCTCCCTCCCCTTCCTTTGGGGCCTGACGCTACCTGCATCCCCTGCGTCGAAGGGCGACAGCGCGCCGCCCCTCACTCCTCCGAGTTTCCTCCGACACAGGCTCCGCTGCATACCCTCCACATGGACGTGTGGGGCCCAGCCCGCGTCAGTGGGCAGGGGCGAGAGCGGTACTTTCTGCTGATTGTTGACGACTATTCGCGTTACACCACAATCTTCCCCTTGCGCAGCAAGGGTGACGTCACTGAGGTGTTGATCGACTGGATCCGCGCAGCTCGTCTCTAGCCCAGAGAGAGTTTCGGCTCGGACTTTCGTGTTCTGCGTCTGCACTCGGACAGAGGCGGGGAGTTTTCCTCGGCCCGTCTGGGCGCCTTCTGTTGTGCACAGGGCATCCGCCAGACCTTCACGCTTCCGGCCTCTCCATAGCAAAATGGGATTGCTGAGCGCCGCATTGGCATGGTCATGGACGTTGCTCGTACGTCCATGATGCATGCGGCTGCCCCCGATTTTTTGTGGCCGTTTGCGATTCAGTACGCCGCGCATCAGCTCAACCTTCAGCCCCGGGTCTCCTTGCCAGAGACCTCCTCCGCCTTGCAGTGGACCAGGAAGGTTGGCGATGCGTCTGCGTTTCGGGTCTGGGGATCTCGGGCGTTTGTCCGCGACTTGTCTGCAGACAAGCTGTCCCCCCGTGCTGTTCCCTTCATCTTCATTGGCTTCCCCCCTGATGCGCCTGGGTGACAGTTTTACCACCCCACCTCGCGACGTGTTCTGTCCTCCCATGACGTCACCTTTGACGAGTCGGTGCCTTACTACCGTCTCTTCCCCTACCGCACTGCGCCCCTCCCCCCGCCGCCGCTCTTCCTTACGCCAGGTGCTACCCAGGTAGACCCCCTCCCCCCTCAGGGTCCTGCCCCGTCAGGTGTGTCCCAGGTAGACGCAGTCGAGCCTGTCGAGGTAGCTGTTGACTCTGGTGCTGCTAGAGGTGCTGAGCCTGCGGGTGCCGGGTCTAGGGGTGCTAAGTATGGGGGTGCTGAGACTGGGGGTGCTGAGCCTGGGGGTGCTGAGACTAGGGGTGCTGAGCCTGGGGGTGCCGAGCTTGGGGGTGCTGAGCCTGGGGGTGCGGAGCTTGGGGGTGCTGGGTCTACTCGTGTGGCCACCGGCGGTGCTTCGTCGCGGCGGGAGCCGCTCTCTCCACAGGAGCTGCGCGAGTGGTTCGCCCGCTGCTGAGTCTGGGGGTGCTGCTGGAGCTACTGGAGTTGGTCCTGCTGGAGCTGCTGTCTGTGCTTGTGCTGCTGGTGGTGGAGCTGCTGGGGGTGTTGGCGCTTATGTTTCTACTGGTGTTGGTGCGTCTGGGGGTGCTGCTGAGGCTGCTAGTACTGAGGGTCCTACTGGAGTTGGTGACGTCCTTGCTGGTTCCGGAGGCGCTGAGCGGCCGAGGCCATACTTCGTTCCTCTCGTGGAGCAGGTTCTTGGTCTTCCGCCCTCTCCTGGTCCCGCTCCTCCCTTAGAGTGTCCACAGCGTGTCCAGTCGCAGTCACAGTTACAGCCTGCCCCCCCGCTACCTGCTCCTTCTCCCTACACTGGTCCTACTGGAGGTCTTGCTGAGCGTCGTGAGCCTTCGTCTCATCCTGCGTCGCCTGTTCGTGCTGCTCGCACTAGTCGTCTATTGCGCGTCCGCGTCCTCCTGCAGTCCCCAGCACACACCAGATGGCACTGCGTCCTTCCAGTGCTCCTCTGCGTGTCCCGTTGCCGTCTCCTCCAGAGTCTTCTCTTCCTTCTCTTGCTGACCCGGAGTCTGACTCCCTTCGTGCTGCTAGTCCTTCGGTCACGCGCCTTCTTGCTACTGTTGTCGCTGACCCTTTCTTTGAGTCCACTGTTGCGTCTTCCCTAGTTGCTGAGCTTGTCGACTTCTCTGCTCGTTGTCGTCTAGACTACGCTGCCAGTCTCGTTGCTGAGTTTGAGTCTGTCTGTCCTCCGTTCGTCGGGGGTGACTGTGCTCTTAGCACGGACGTCCTTGAGGAAAGGCAAGAGGAGTTCTAGTACTTTGCTGCTGCTTTGCCCCATCTCGTGTCCACGCTGATTGCCCCTGAGGGAGACCCGGATGCACCAGACATCCCGACTCCTCGATCGTACGCTGAGGCGATCGAGGGTCCCTACTCCTCTTAGTGGCAGCCAGCCATGGACGCAGAGATGGCTTCCTGGAAGTCCACAGGCACCTACGTCGACGAGGTTCCCCCACCTGGGGCGAACATCGTCAGTGGCATGTGGATTTTCTGGGTGAAGCGGCCGCCGGGTTCTCCGCCTGTCTTCAAGGCGGGTTAGGTGGCTCGAGGCTTCAGTCAGCGGCAGGGAGTTGACTACTTTCAGACCTTCTCTCCCACCCCAAAGATGACCACTCTTTGGGTGCTGCTGCACATAGCCGCTCAGCGCGACTACGAGCTTCACTCTCTTGACTTCAGCACAGCTTTCCTTCATGGCAGCCTGCACGAGGAGATCTGGCTGCGCCGCACTCCTGGCTTCACTGGTTTGTTTCCTCTTGGTACCCAGTGGAGCCTCCGGCGGCCAGTCTACGGTCTTCGCCAGGCGCCTTGTGAGTTGCACGACACACTGAGGACTACACTTGCGTCTCTTGGGTTTGCTCCTTCTACAGCCGACCCGTCGCTGTTTCTACGCACCGACACCTCTCTACCGCCGTTCTACATCCTTGTGTACGTCGAGGACTTGGTCTTTGCTACTGTTGACACTGCTAGACTCGCCCACGTGAAGTCCGAGCTACAGAAGAGACACACGTGCACAGACCTGGGTGAACTGCGCAGCTACCTTGGCTTGCAGATCACCCGGGACAGAGAACAGCGCACCATTACCCTGACTCAGTCACACATGGTGCAGCAGGTCCTTCAGCGCTTCGGCTTCACGTACTCCTCGCCTCAGGCCACTCCTCTGTCCACTCGCCACTCGCTCTCAGCTCTGCCTTCGGATGAGTCCGTAGAGTCGAGTGGCCCGTACCCAGAGCTTGTTGGCTGCCTCATGTACCTGATGACCTGCACACGACCTGACCTTGCATACCCTCTTAGCATCTTGGCACGCTATGTTGCTCCTGGGAGACACTGACCAGAGCACATGGCTGTAGCGAAGAGGGTGTTGCGCTACGTGTGCAGTACGTCGGGCATGGGGCTAGTGCTTGGAGGGCGGCGTCGAGTAGTCCTCACAGGTCACGCAGACGCTTCTTGGGCTGACGACCAGGCTCCGGTGCTGTCGTCACAGGGTTACACCTTCAACCTTGGCTCCGCCTCTGTTTTGTGGCGGTCTACTCGCTCGTCTTCTGTTCTCAGCTCCAGCTGTGAGGCTGAGATCTACGCAGGGGCCATGGCTGCACAGGAGCTGCGCTGGCTCACCTACCTGCTGACTGACCTAGGAGAGCCGCCTCGTTCTCCTCCATTCTGTACGTAGACAACAAGGCCATGTTGGCCTTATGTCGGGAGCATAGACTGGAGCACAGAACGAAGCACATTGCTCTCCGCTACTTCCTTGCTCGTGAGCTGCAGCAGCGTGGTCAGCTCCGTCTCATCTACGTGGCCTGTGAGGCCAACACTGCTGATATCTTCACCAAGGCCCTTCCGCCTTGTGATCATCAGCGCTTCTGTACTTTGCTAGGTCTTGTGCCTACCTGGCCTCACTTGCTCACTTCTTGACCTTGTTTGTACTGTACTCTTTCTATACCTGCACTTGCTTGTTTACCTTTATATATATGTTCTTGCATATGAACTGGCCTTGTGGCCTTCCTCTTGTGCTCGGACTGTGTGGTGACTTTGTGATCCACCCTGAGCTTGCTTTGCTTTGCTTGACTGGTCTTGAGACCGCTTGTTCTCCCCCACTTTGCCTTTGGGGGTGTATCAGAACATTATAGCTTATACATTTGTGTAGGCTGTAGTGGGGTAGCCCATAAGGGGTACAACCCAATTAGGGTTAGTACTTGAACCGAACTGTTTCATAGTTCATTCATCCATTCTCACTTCTCGTCAGGCATGACTCGAGCACGTGGTAAGGATTGATACTGGACACAGGTGGATCAACGCTAGGCGACCTATAATGGGCACTGAATAATTCTGGGTGTGCCGTTACATGTTATGTGCAGATGATAGATGCCATCCGCTTTTGGGAGACTCGCAAGGGAAGGCTGTCCAACTCTGCCGGTGTTTAAGTGCAGATCGTGGACGGCCTTCGTGAGTGTGCTCTGACGGACGTCATGGTGGCTGTTGATCAGTTCCAGCCGGCGTACGACGCAACCACTTCCTCATGGGCATGGGGTCGCCATGGCCTGCGCCTTTCTGCATGGGGCACCGAGCGCCAGGCGACAGCCGTGCCTGCAGACTGCGTGAGCGGGAGGGAGGGGGACAATCTCTCACTGAACCGATGTGACAGGAACCCGATCCCCGGCTTTGTAGGGAAGCTGAAGTTCAAGGCTGTGCGGTGCTAGTGCATGGAACCCGTGTGTTTCAGCCTAGCTTGTGGCATTCAGTAGGAGTGATTGTTGTGTACCACATAGTGTGATATGTATGCAGAAATTGTGAGGGGGGAAACCGTACAGAAGAGTGAATAAAACAATGGTTATATCCAATAC